ATCCGCCTGCTTCTGCCTCTCAAGTGCTGGGACTACAGGTGTGCGCCACCACGCCCGGCTCAATTTTTTAAATTTTTTAATAGACTTGGAAGTCCAAGGACAATTTTATTGGAGCTTGAACAAAACACAGCATGGCAGGCAAACTGTAAATCTTTGTAGCTGCATGGAGAGAGATGGAGAAGAAAGAGAGAAAGGCATGCCTTCTGCAAAGGAGGTTCCCAAGCAGCAGCACAGCTAAAGGGAAGGGAGAAACCTCAAAGGAATGAGAAATTCCAGGATGCTAGGGAAGCCATGCTTAGGCCTTAGGAAAGCAGAGACTCTGCAGTACTGCCTGATGGAAGCAATTCTTCAGGGCACATCAACTACTTTTTGGACAAGACCCCCCAAACCATAAAAAATAAAACCAAATGTTGAAAAGTGAAATTATATCAAACAAAAAGCATTTACACAGTAAAGGAAACAGCAGAATGAAGAGACAACCTACAGAATAACAGAAAATATCTGAAAACTATTTACTTGACAAGAGGTTTATATCTAAAATGTACAAAAATTCAAAAATCTCAATAGCAAAATAGCAAGCTGATTAAAATGATTTATGAACTTACATACATGTCTCAAAAGAAGACATAGTTAACAAGTATGTGGAAAATGTTCAACATCATTAATCATCAGAGAAATTAAAGCCACAATGAGAAATCTCCTTATCCCAGTAAGAATAGGCATTATCAAAAACAGAACAGTTAAGTACTAGAGAGGATGCAGAGAAAAGGAAATCTTTGCACTTTGTAGGAAAGCAATTCATAGAATCATTAAATAAAATATCACAGAGTTTTCTCAAAAAGTTAAAGCTGGAATTGTTATATGATCCAGCAATCTCTCTTGTATATATACAAAGGAAAGAAAAGACATCTTCACTCCCAAGTTCTCTGCAGCATTATTCACAATAACCAAGAATGGAAAAAATCTTGTGTCCATTCACTCACTGATAAATGGATAAAAAATATGTGGCACATATATACTGTGGAATACTATCCAGCCATAAAAATGATAAAATCATGTTATTTATAATAACATGATGGAACTGGAGATCATTATGTTAAATGAAATAAACAGGAATAGAAAAAACAAACACTGAATGATCTAATATATGTGAAACCTAAAGAAATTGATTTCATAAAAATTCAGAGGAGAAGGGTGATAGCCAGAATGGTGGTTACCAAGGTTCTAGAGGACTGTAGGGAAGAAGGAGAAAGATGGATCAATAGGTACTAAGTTACAGTTAGACAGACCCATAAGTTATGGTATACAACTGAATAATACAGAGGGGATAGAGCTAATAGCAGGAAATTGTGGATTCAGGGTTGTTTTTGTCTTGTGTTTGGTTTAGTTTGGTTCAGTTTTTTGAGACAGGGTCTCCTAGAGCTCAGGCTGGCCTTAAACTTGCCTATGTAGCTGAGGATGACCCTGAACACCTAATCTTCCTGCCTCCAACAACCAAGTGCTGGGTACTGTAGATTTCAAGACATTAGAAGGACTAAATATTACACAATGTATAAATGTATTAAAACATCATTTAGCATCCCATGAATATGTATCAGTTAAAAATAAATATGAATTTAAGAAAAAAAATGGAGCTGGAGCGATGGCTCTGTGGTTAAGATCACTGGCTGCTCTTGGAGAAGACTAGGGTTCAGTTCCTGGCACCCACATGGCAGCTAACAACCATTCATAATTCCAAGGGGTCTTACTCCCTTTTCTGACCTCCACAGGCACTGTACATACAAGTGCACTTACATACATGCAGGCAAAACATTAATACATACAAAACAAAAATATTTTTTTAAAAGAAAAAGGAAAAAATTCAATCAAAAGAAATAGATTTTTTTTAAAGTTAAATGCAGACAGAACAAAGAAAAAGAAAATGGTAAAATAACAAATTTAAACCTAACTATATCAAATAATCACATTAAATGAAACAGTTCAGTGGCTGCCTATGAAGTGCAAGGCCCTGAGCAATCCCCAGCATAGGAAGAAAGAGAGGAAGTCCAAATATACCAAGTGGCAGAGACTGACATAATATATTGAAGGAAAACAACTATATGCTACTTGTAAGAACCCAGTATAGCCAGGTGTGGTGGTGCATGCCTTTAATCCCAGCACCAGCACTTAGGAGGCAGAGGCAGGAGGATCTTTGTGAGTTCGAAGCTAGCCTGGTCTACATAGTGAGTTCTAGGACAGCTGGGGGCCGCAGAGAGACCCTGTCTCAAAAAGACAAAAAAAAAAAAAAAAAAAAAAAAAAAAAAAGAACCCAGTATAACAACATATATAACAACTTATGACAAAAAAGCGACTACTGTGTTAACATTAACCAAAAATTATAACACCAAGCAGAGTAGACTTTACAGCAAAGACTATTATTAGAGATAAGAAGGCAGTGTCCCAATGATAAAGGAGCAATTCATAAGGAAAACGCAAAAATATTAAGCATTTTTTAACTTAATGAACAAAGTAATTATCTGTCATGCAGACTTAACATTTATGAACCTAACTGCAAAGATTCAAACTATGAGAAGACTCGTTAAACCACAAGTAGAAACCAACAAGTTCACAGTTCATATCAGGGATTTTAAAATCCCTCTCAATAATTGTTGTAACAGGTGAGAGTTAATTATCTGTGTCAATTTGGATGGACCAAGCGACACTGTCCAACAGATGATCAAACATTATTTCTGGATCTGTTATAAGTCTTTGGAAGAGAGCGTTTGAATCAGTCAAGTAAATGCAGAAGATCAATGTGAGGTGCAGCATCCAGCCATTGAGTACTTCTAGAGCAAGAAAGAGAAACGCAAGGAAGATGAAACTTTCATCTTCTACCTCTGGTATCAGAACTCTAGAGTTTAGGGGTTTGGAACTTAGAAATGTCTCCACCCCTCTCAGGATTTTGTTCTCAGACTTGAAAATTTCATCAGTTCCCCTAGTCTACAGGCCTCCTGACTCATAGTAAACTTTATCACCAGGTTTCTGGTTCTCTAGTTTGTGGTGCTTCTTTACTTCACTGTAAACATGTACACAAATAGACTAGATAGATAGGAGATAGATAAGACAGACAGACAGACAGACAGATAGAGATAGATGGATGGGTGGATGGATGGATGGATGGATGATAAATGGATGATAGGTGACAATTAGATGATATAGATAATAGATTATAGAGATAGAGAGATACAGAGATAGATATATATTGATTCTGTTTCTCTGAAAACCCCTAACAGAAATTAAAGTCCTGAACGTGACTGTCAACCACCTGAACCTGATTGTCCATCTACAGAATACACCAACCAACAACATAGAATGCACATTCTTATCAAGTGCACATGAAACAGTCACCAAGACAGACCACAGTCATAATTTTTCCCCCTTTGGTTTTTTTTTTTTTTTTTTTTTTTTGAGACAGGGTCTCCCTGTAGCTCCAGGCCAGCTGGACTTGAACTCACAGAGATCCACCTGCCTTTGTCTCCCAAGTGCTGGGATTAAAGGCGTGTGCCACAGTCATAAATTTAGAAAGCACTGAAGCTATACACAGAATGGGCTCTTGGAAAACAGAACTAAATTCAATATCAATAACTGGAAGGCCATTTGAAGGAAAAACCAACACTTGTGCTGTAGAGCAGGGTCCTCTACACATAAGAGCTGCCATATTTATGAGATCAGCTGTGCCTGCTTGCAAGAGTCCATCAGGTTCTATTGGGCTATTGGACTTGTTCACTGCTGACATTCCCTCATAGAAGGAGGGGATGGTGGGGGGTAGGGGGTCACTGAACACTTACTGAGATTCCAGCTACTCCTCACACACATTAGTATATAATTCTGACCTAAACTGCAAGTGACCTCCAGCTCTTAAGAGGTGTTAGAGTATATGGTAGAGTGATAGTGGGGATAACTGAAGTGGAGCTCCACTTACATGGCTATGGAAAAGCCATCATCCATGCAGGGTGAGGACGTCCCAGTGCGGTTGTTGTGGGGTCACACACTCCTGCAGACAACCCCTTAACAATGCTCTATAAGTAACTCAAATAAACTCATTGGTTCCCCAGGGTGGACTTCAATGAACTCCTACTTTGATTTCTTGTTGGGACCTATGAGGAAGGAGCAGGCATTGTATCTCCAAGGGAAGGAATTCTCACAATAACTGGCAATTTAATAAAATACCTTGAAAGAGTACATAAGCCAAAAAAAAAAAAAAAACCAAAAGGGAAATTAAAATTTATTCTGAATTGAAAGGATATTAAAATAAGCACATAAAAATTTATAGAACAGGGCTGGAGAGATGGCTCAGTAGTTAAGAGAGAGTACTGCTCTTCCAAAGGACCCGAGTTCAATTCCCAGAGCCTACGTTAGACAACTCACAACCACATTAAACTCCTGCTCCAGGGAATCCAATGCCTCTGACTTCCACTGGCAGCAGCACTCACACACTCCTACCCATACACAGACACATAAATAAATAATAAATATAAATATAAAAAATTTACAGACTACAGAAACTGGGGAGATGGCTCAGTCTGTAAGAATTGTTTCTGTGAAAGAATGAAGATCTGAGTTCAAATCCCTAGCACCCACATAAAAAAGCCAGGCATGTAGCCCCATGCCTGTAACCCCAGCATTTAAGGGGGCAGAGCCCTAGAGCTCACTGCCCAGGCAGCCTAGCCTAAACAGCATACTTCAGGTTCAGTGAGAGACCCTATCTCAAGGAAATAAAGTGGACAGCAACAGAGGAAGATCTCTGGCCTCCAGCAACAGTGCATGGGTGTGTGCATCCACATGTGCACATACATGCATATACCACACACCAAAAAAATTGAAGGATGTAGTCAAAACAGAATTTAGAGAAAATTTAGAACACTGCAAGTTGACATAGGTATGTTCATTGAATAGTATGATCTCTTTGTTTTTAGAACAATGATGATGCTGTACATAACAAATAAAACCATTCTTCTTACCTTGGATAAATTGCTGACATAATTCACTTGCACAGTGCTTTCTTTATCAACTTGATTACAAAGGTTCTGTAAACTACATGCATATTCTTTATCACTTTTTATTCTCAGAGCCATAAATTTCTTTACTGTTTCCAGTAACCGTAATTCCCAGTCTTGCAACTTTAACACAGCTTCCTGTGAATTCTTCAGGTCACTCCCAAACCCCATTTTTGTAAGGCACTGCTTATCCTCTACACTGCACAGGTGAGCCTTCTAGTCAGCACATATCTGTGGATACAAAAATAAGAAGTCTTCAATTAGAAGGAAATTAATCTTCAAAGCAAAGATAGGCCCACTCTCTTCAGAGTTTAAAAAAAAAAAAAAGTTGGTACAACTAACTGCTTTTTCCTAAAGATCAGAAAAAACTGAGGATGTTCACTCTATTGATATTATACTGTAAGTTCTAGACATTTCAGTGACATAAGTAAAATAAAAAACATTCAGATTAGAAAAAGAAAAAGTGAAACTATTTGTATTTGCAGATGATATCACCTTATATAGAGAAAATCCTAAGGAAGACAATGCAAAATTGTTAGTCTAGTAATGTTACAATGTATTAATGTTTGAAGACAAAATGTCCCCCAGAGACTCATGTGTTCAGTGTCTGGCACCCAGCTAATGGTATTACTCTGGGGTGGAAACTTCAGGTGGTAGAGCCTCGCTACAGATAGTAAGTCACTGGAGTATGCTTTCAAAGATCATACCATATCCCTGGTCCCTTCCTGTTGGGAGTTGTTAATCCATTATGTACATTGAGCTGTGGCAGTCTTGTTTACCTAGAGTTTGTGTTTTGCACACCAGTACCTAATCTGCCAAGTCAGGAGGAATGTGTTTATATGGTGGAGTTCACAAGTATTTGATGGCTCCTTGACCCTCAGATACAGGTGGGAAAAATAGCTGTTGAAACTAACTGAGCTAAGCAAATGGTGGCTATCTCTGATGTTCTGTATAAAAAGGCGGAGCTACTGACAGTCCTCCCAAGTATCTTTTCTCTGTCTCTTGTTTTTTCTTTCAGTCCTCACTTCCCCCTTTCAGGTACTGTCCGTCTTGGCCGGCTGGCACTGGCACCTTCCTATCTCTGTTTCCTGGATTCTGGAAGGTGAGCTGCTTCTATCACACATGACTGCTATCATGATGTACTGCCTCGCTACAGGCTCCAACACATAAGGCCAAGTGACCATGGAAGGAAATTCCTGAAAAAATAAGCCAAAATAAATCTACCTTAGGTTGTTTATCTCACATATTTGGTTACAGCAATATAAAGCTAACTAACATACACAGTATAAAATCAACATATAAAAGTCAATTAAACATTTACATATCAGCAATAATCGATCCAAAAATTAAAAGGCAATTATATTTATAAAAGCATTAAAAAAGAGTAAAACACACAGGAATAAATTTAAGAAAAATGCAAAACTGTATCCTTAAAACTAAAAATATGGTTAAAATTATAAACAAACTACTGAAAGACTCATGTTCAAAGGTAGAGTTAAAAATGTTAAAGCATGAGTTTCCAATTTGATCTACAGATTTGAGATAATCCAGTGATATCTCAGAGCATTTTGTAGAAACTGATAAGCAAATAATAAAATATAGATGATAAGGAAAAGGAGCCAGAATGATCATTTTTTAAAAGTCTTAAAAAAAAAAGAACTTTTAGGCTTCATGATTTCTAATTTCAAAACAATAAAAAGCTACAATAATTAAGACAGCATGGCATGGATATGTGGACTGACATCAAGATTAACAGGGAAGAACAGAGAGTTCCAATAAATTTTCACACCTATGGAAAAATTATTTTCTACGAAGGTATCAAGTCTACTCAATGGGAAAGAAGAGGCTCCTCGATGAACAATCCTGGGACACCTGGGTTTCCACAATGAAGACTGAAGTGAACGATTCCTTAGACTATAGACAATAGCTAATACTAAAAGGATCATATACCTAATATCAGAGCTAAAACTATAAATCACTTAGAAGTAAATGTTCATAACCTTGGCTTAGGCAGTAGTTTCTTAGCTACAACAGAAAAACAGCAGCAAAATAAGATACACATAAATTGTATTTCACCAAAATTAAAGACTTTAGTACTTCAAAAGACATCATGAAATAAAAAGATAACCCAAAGAATGGGAAAAAAAACTTGAAAGTCACATGACAAACTTTTATCTTGACTACAGAAATAATTCTTATAACTTGGTAACAAAATATAAACCAATGAAGTCTGGAGAGACAGCTCACTGGTCAAGAGCACTAGGACCTGAGTTTCATCCCCTGAGCCCACAACAGGCAGCTCACAATCGCCTGTAACTTCAGCTCCAGGAGCATCTGACACCTCTGGCCTCTGAGAGTACCCACACCCATGTGCACACACTACTACACACATAAACATGTAATTAAAAATAATAAAAATAAATTTTTTGTAAACCCCATCTTAAAAAATACATGAACAAATGAAAATAAAGGATCTCTAAAGAAGATATATAAATGCTCAACAAGCACAGAAAAAGATGCTCCACGTTGTGAGGAATTAGCAAATCAAAGCTATAATGAGATAGGAATGCACACTAGGACATTTATAACAAAAAGACATAAAATCAAATGTTGGAGAAACTGGAGGGAGTAGAAGTCTCACGCTGCTAGAGAAATGTGAAATGGTAGAACCATTATGGAAAAAACAGGTAGTTTCTCCAAAGGTAAAGCATAGAGCTACCTTATGACCCAAAACCATACTTCTGAGCACATACTCAGGTGAAATTAAAAAACAAGCCCATGGAAACAAGGGATGCAGCCAGATTCCATTTCCAGCACCACATTTTAGTAAACAAAAAATCTAAACAAAAATTTATATGTGAGACTGGGCATGGCAGCGCACACCATTAGTCCCAGCATTCAAGAGGCAAAGGCAGACAGATCTTTGAGATTAAAGCCAGCCTGGTCTACATAACAAGTTCTAGATTGGCTAGGACTACTAGGACCCTGTCTCCAGATGACCATAAATTAATTAATCAATTATTTATTTATATGTGAATGTCTGAAGCAACATTATTCAAAATAGCCACAAAATGAAAATACCCCAAATATTCAATCAATGAGTGGATGAATGAAATATAGGAACAGCTGATCTTCCTAAAACAAGGATCTCTAGATAAGCTGACTAGATTCAGCAGATGGACAAGCACTGGAGAATGGCCGGGGGTGTCGACAACACAGTGGACAGTAACAGGGATGACAGAGTATATGGGCTCCAGTATGAGGCTATGGAGGGGTGCCATTTTGGAAGTGGGTATATAGATGAATAATATTGTGTGGGATGTTCTGTATGATATACACACAGAAAAATCAAGAAATTTATTTTAAAAGACATATTTGAGGAGGAAGCATAAAAATTTACTTCATATTAAACAGTAGAGGTGATAAACATTACCAGTGGAATCTCCCTGATGGATTTATATCCATACTCAGGTACTAAGGATCCAAGTGTAACTGACTGTGACTAGTAATCATCAGATACATAGAGACTAAAGACACATGTGCAAACATCTAAGTGTTAGTAACATTAAAAATGTAGCAAACAGCATATTTTAAAATGAAATGGAGATCTTTAAAGGGTAAAAACTCATTCAATTTTATATCTTACAGGGTTTATACTGGGTTCAATATTGTATAACTGTATTAATTCAACTGTGAACCTAAAAATTTACAGCCACTTTTGAAAGAGATGTATCCTTGCTCTGGAGTGTGTTACTGAATATGTTAAAGCTGTAATGAAATGCTTCTGATAATCATGTGGTTATTAAATTTAAAAACAACTTTAAAAATAATTCTTCAAAGCATAAAAATTTGCTCCTTAATAATTAGTAGGTGTGAAAAACATTACCATTGAAATCTACCTGATGACTTTATATCCATGCTCAGATGCCAAGGAGGTCAGAAAGTAACCGACTGTGACTAGAAATAATCAGATATATAGAGCTTAGAAATGCATGTGCAAACATCTTAATAGCAATTGCATTAAAAATGAATTTTTCTGTATGAAACTGTGTACTTTAATAATGAAATGGAGATCTTTTTTAAAGGTTAAAACCTCATTTAATTTTATGTCTTATAGGGTTTATATGGAGTACAATATTGTATAACTGTATTAATTCAACTGTAAACCTAAAGATTTACAGCCAATTTTGAAAGAGATATATCTTATCTCTAGAAATTGTTATTGAATATGTCAATGCTGTTGTAATGAAATGCTTCTTCTAATCATGTGGTTATTAAATAAATAATTTTTTTAAAAAGAAAGAAATATAGCAATAACCATACAATGGACTATTATATGCCAGTTTAAAGGAATGAAGTACTAATACAGACTACAACATGAATGAAACTTGAAAATATTTTGTAAAAGACCACACATTGTATGATTCTTTTTGTATAACATGTCTAAAATAGGCCAATCCAGAGATATAACACAGATTTTTAGTCATCTAAGACTGGTGAATTTAGAGACAAATAGGGAGTGATAGCTAAGGGGTATCAGATGTCCTGTGGTGATGAAAATGTTCTGAAATAGATTGTGATGACAGCAAAACTGAGTGTACTAAAAACAGCTAAACTATACTGTTTCAATGGGTGAATTCTTTAGAATGTGAATGCCATATTTAACCGTGGTTCGATGTATCCCTCAGGTTTCAAATGTTGTGATTTAATCCTCATGGAGAGGTATTTAGAAGGTGAAAATAGAATCCCACTGTGGTATTTAGCAGTAGGATTTCTGGAAGGTAATCAGGATTAAACAAAGTCATTAGGATGGTGCTAATTCTCTCTCCCCATGTCTTTCCCATTTCCCTTCTCTCTTCTACCTCTCCCTTCCTTTCAGTTATCCTCTCTTGTATCCTTGAAATACTCTGAACCATCTTGGGTCTCTGCCAGTAAGAAGGCCATCCACAGATGTGGCCCCTAGATCCTGAACCTACAGAATTGTGAACCAAAATAAACCTCTCTTATTTACAAACTTAGCTCATGGTACCATGTTACTGGTGACAGGAAAATGGACTCTTACAGAAAACAGTAACTCAAAACAGTTGTTTAAAAAAATTCCTATGGCATAACTTATGATCATGTACAGGTCAGTTATCATAAACTTCCCCAAGATATCCTCCTTGTTTATTATAAATCCTGAAACTACTGCAGAATTTATTTTGCCCTCCAGTTTTCTCAGCTTTCAAGCA